AAAAGGCAAATTATTCAAATATATAAAAAATAAAATATAACTGTATGCTGATTATAAGAGCCACACCTAACCATAAGGATAATGGCTGAAAATAAGAGCAGAAAAATATATACTATACACATACCAATACTAATATAGTGCAGCTGTTTTAACATCAAAATAGACTTTAAGGACATACACATTACAAAGATAGTATTTTTCTACAAAAATAAAAGGACTGATTGAATATGAAAGATAAATTTCTAAATTTTTATACATCCAGAAATATAGCTTAAAAACATATAAAGCAAAAATGACAGAACTAAAAGAAGAACTGGGAGGTTATAATATACCTTTCTCAGTAACTGACAGAACAAGCAGACAAAAAATTCAGTAAGGATAGAGGACTAAATAACATGATTATCAAGTTGACTTGTTAATCATAAAACACTGCACCCAAGAATAACAGGTACACATTCTTTTCAAGTACACATGAAACATTTTCCAAAACTGACCTACCCAGGGCCATGAAGCAAGTATCCACAAATTTGAAGAATTGAAATAATTCAGAGTATGTTCTCTGATCATCATGGAATTAAGGCAGAAATAAATTTTAAAAGATGAACTAGAAAATTCCTGAAAATTTGGGAAATTAAGTAGCTCACTTATAAATACCCATGAGTCAAAGGAGAAAGCACAAGAGAAATTAGAAAATACTTTTAACTGAATGACAATAAAAAGATGATATATAAAATCATACAGAATGTAACTAAAGCTATAGTGAGATGATAAAGCCTTAGATATTACACAAGAAAAAGTTATTCAAGTAGCCATCTTAAGAACAGTAATTTAAAATGAAAAATGTGGACAGAAGGAAATAAAGAGTAGAAATTAACGTCATAGAAACAAAACATACTATACAGAAAATCATCAAAGCAAAAAATTGATTCTTTTGTATACTAAGAAAGTTTATAAACCTATGAGCAATACTAATCACTAAAAAGAACAAGTTATCAACATCAGGAGCAAAAAGGGGACATCACTACAGAGCCTAGAGACAGATTAAATAGTTCACAAGATATCTACAACCCTGTGACTAGTTGAACATGTAAATAAAAAAGAAAAATTCCTAGAAAAACGTAACTTACCAAAACTAATTAACAAGAAAAACAGAAAATCTGAATAATGAAGCACATTTCATATCCAACTGCCTAACAGACATACGAGCGAGGTTAGAGAGCCAGGGAGTTACCCATGACTGCCCTTAAATGATTCCTTCTCTCTTGTAGCCATGGGCTGACACAGTGATGAACTAGAAGCAGAGTCTGATCCTGCAGGTTATAGATTTATAAAGTAGGTTGAATTCAGTGTCAGCATTATTTCTTAAATGAAAATTGTATTTTGGGGGAAAGAGTACAAATCTGAAAAGTGGAATGGTGATATATGAGGATTCTAATAACTCCAAGTACCCAAACCCCAAAGATTTCCCTTTCCAACACAAGAAATTTCTCCTCCCTAACCTAATAACGAGACTGAAAGCCTCCTTTCTTGAATACCCTGTAATGACCACACCAAAATAAAATTCCAGTTCTCCTCACTTACCACTCCTACCTCTTATTGCCTCTGACTGATGACTGAGCCAAACCCTCAAATTCTCTAATTTCAAAGTCACACCTTGGGGAAAAGGGCTTACATATATTAATAGAATTGCAAGAATTTCCTAACTCTTGAGAAACAGGTGTCAAAAAGATTCTGAGGTTGCTAGGCCAGGGAGGAGAAACATAGTTTAGATCAAGGTGAATTCATTGCTCTGAGTGCATTTCATTGCAAGTGATCACAAGTTATGATCTAAGCCATGTTCCAGCCATGGGTGCCAAGTGCAGTTCTGTGTCCCATCCTCCACTGCCTTGAAGCCCAGCCAGGTCAGATAACTGATCCAAGATCCCATTTCCTGAGCATCTGTTTCCTGCAATGTTTCTGATACCTCTACTTGATCAGCATTCTTACTTTCAGACAACAGAATCCCCTCAAGCTAGTTTAAGTAAAAGGAATTTAGTAAGCAGTATATAGGTAACTCATAGAATCCTTGAAAATGCTTGAAATAGAATTTATACTGAATTCTAGGAATCACCCCAATCCCATACACAGAAGTGAGCTTGCAAAGTGCAGCTGCTGCTGGTTTTATGATCAAGCTACTTGCCACATCAGAAAGCCTCCATCCACTGCAGCTCCAAAAACACATCACCTGTGACAAAATCCAAGCCTACATAATAAATAGATGCGTTAGGCCCTCCTTATCTCCCACTTAACTCAGTTCTGAACCAAAGTCTCACATAAGTGCATCTGATCAGAGGAATTTAAGTTTTGTTTAGAATCTAAGCTCTAAAGGAGTCTGGCAGGTTTTAGCTTCCCAGACTCTATAGCACAAGAAAGCATGATAAAAGGGGACTGACCATCTATATAGCACCTTCTTTGCAATATTCATCTGAATATAAATAGATGATCAGACAATGTTTTTTTCATTTAACAATGTCTTGGATATTGCTATGTTAACTATCTATAATCTCATCCTTTTTAACAGCAGCATAAATGTGCTTAGTATGGATGTGCTAATATATTCAACATTTTCTTTCCAGAGGACATTTAGGTTTCTTCTATCTTCGCCATTTAAAAAAACAAAAGAACTGATGTATTCCTTCACCCTAACCACACACCTGTAAGAAAGGATTAGGATCCTGGCCGTTTTTTTTTTTTTTTTGAGTATGTGTATTTCTGGGATTGATACTGGATTTCCTACTTACAAGCCAGTTTTTTCTTTATATATGCACCTTCTCACCCCCTTTAAAGTCTAACATGTTCTTTTTTCCAAAGAGAATAAATATTTGCTGAATTAATTAATCATCCTGGTTTTCTCTTGCCATGAAACACTATTTGCATTTGGGGGATTTCAGATGTAAAATAGCCTGGATTATTTTCTTAAACTCTGGATCAGACATCTTGAAAAAGTTTCTAGTAGATTATTATGTCATCTCCCCTGCTTTTGAGTAATTCATTTTTTATAGCTGAGTGCCAGTTGTCTCTAACCAATTAAGACCAATGGGCCACAAAGGTGTTTCTACTTATAAAAATATATTTCACAATCCCAGTGCAAAATGCAAATGCTACAGGTAGCAGAGCAATGCACCCTGAAATGAGGTGTCAGAAGAGCAGCCTGTAGATTAGCATGGAAAGAACCCTGGAGATAAAATACATACATTGTAAAAAGTGCTCCCAGGCAGCAAATCACTGGACATGAATGTAGAAAATTTTAATTTTTCTGTACTTTTTTTAACATCTATAAAATGGGGATAAAACCTTTTGCAATGCTCTGCAAGAACTAAACAAATGTCAAATGAAAACATACCACTGCTACTACAGACTATACCTGCAAGTAAATCTATCACAAGTGCCCTGGACCATGTTAGCTAAAAAGGGCTGGAAGCTGTCTATTGGCCAGTGATAGATCATTCAAGAAATGAACCTTTCCAAAGTCAGTACCCTTCTCAGGTGATTTTCTTTTCCTTGATGTTTGTCCTACCCCAAAGACCCTCTCTGTCTAGTCTGTGCCTCAGTAAGCATGCAGCGGCACAAAGGGGAGAGCAGAGCAGAGCAGAAGACACAAAGATCAAAGCGTGCTTTCCATGAGCTCCCTTATTCACGTCTATAAGCATGCTTTGTCTAAATGGATAGTTTAGATTTTCTGTGATTTCCTTCCTAAAGACTTATAGCCTGTATATATGTCATGGTGAGATCCCAGTTTTAACCAGGCCACTGTGAAAATCACTTAAAGCTTGGCAGGCTAGGCGCAAATTGCTACTTCCTAGCTGTGTAACTGTGTGCCAATTACTTAACCTCTCTGTACCTCATTCTCTTCCTATGTAAACTAGGGATAATCACGGGTCCACTGTGCAGATCATTTAATCATCTATGGCCATTTTTTTAGGATAAAAATCTATGCTAGGCTAATCTAAAACTGAATATTAGCCATTGTTTACCATACATGGAGCACTGTGTAGCCCTTTACACCTATTAACATCAAACAGTATTAAGTAATGGGAACTCCTGTAATTCCCTATTTACAGTTAAGTAAACAGAGGCAGAGACGTTACATAACTTGGCTAAGGTTACAAACCGTCACGCAGCAGAGCCCAGGCGGCAGGACATTCAGCAGGACGCCAGGGCCCACGTTCCCAATATCCTGCCTCACAACATGACTGTTCACCCAGGAGCAGATTGATCCCACAGCAGCAACAGGCAAGGCCACCTGCAGAGAAGGCTCAGAGTAAAACCTCGTCAAAAGGGCAGTTACTGATTTATCTTGTGAGAATGACAGAATGTGCCATTCTAGTGAAAGATGTAAAAAATAGAAGAGACGGATGCAAATCGGCAGTAACAGCTACATTCTCACTTCCACGTTTTCTGGGCTTCCTCTATTGTTTTAGTTGTTTTGACATTAGAATCAACCACCTTGGGCAGCAGTTCAACCTGCACTGGAAATGAACTTTAACCCTGCATGAACTACTGAAATGAAGGGAGGGAGCAGCTTCTAGTTCCAGCACCAGCAGTTTCCTGCAATCTGAGGTGGCCAGCCGCTTGGTACCTTTAGCAAGAGGCCGAGGTTTGGGCTGCCAGTCCCACCCGCACTGCCCTGACAGAGGCTTCATGATCTGGGATTGGCAGCCACCCTCAGCCACCACCACCTCCCTCCCTCCCTCAACCGCAGACCTGCCACAGTTCCCCCCAGAGGCAGCAGAGTAAAGGTACCACCTTAGGGAGGAAGAGGGCAGAGGGCAGAGGGCAGAGGCCAGCCAGAAACTGGGAAGCACTGTTATGAAGAAGCATATTATAACAGGACCTCAAAGCTATTATATTTAGGAAATGCTCTCTTCACTTCTAAATTTAGAAAAACTAAAGTTCTACCCGATTTTTCCCTAGAAGACTCACTACTCTTCCACAAAGTGATTTACAAGAGAAATCCTGTATTTTTTTTAAAAAGTTTTATTTTAATCCTCCCTAGAGGAATACAGATTTGAATGAAATACATTCATTCCATAAATACATTAGCAGCAAAACCTTCCATGAGTTCTTTCTACTCCAGCCCATGGGTGGTGCCTTAAAGCAGGAAAGCACGTCCCATCAACCGTCAGCTTAAGGATGTGTCTGCTTCTTGGTGGCCGGATATGCATGTGAGAAGCCAGGTGAAAGGCAGGATGGATGGATGCATTAACTAAGCTGAGACCCTATGTGGTGACCGTTAAGTTCCAAATCCTTTGGCATCCGCCACACTTACCTACTGGGGTCTTCCACCACAGCCAGCCAGCAAGTCTAACCTTACAGCACACCAATGCATCGGAGGTCTTTGGTCAGTTAGTAACATTCTAGTAACATCTTGTTCCTTTTCAGAGGGTTAAGTAGGATGCAAAGGATCATTCCGTCCTTCCTCCCACGGGCCGAGGTACCACTGCACCAGCCGAGTCCATGTGTGCTACTGTCAGGAGATAATCCAGTAGGCCTTATCTGGCTCCCTACACCTCCAGGCCCCCATTGTCTAGAGGCTGTAGGCTTTATTGAAGACAGAGGGACATGTTTAAACCTAAAAGATCTCTATGTAACAGGATTCAGGGGTCTCCGCCTGGCTTCTGCCAAAGCTAGTTTCGTGGACAGTGGCCCAGTGTCTTCCCTCTTCTCTCCATCACTGCTTACTGCCCAGCTGCTCCTCTTTCACCTGTCCTCTAGGCACCTGCTGAAATTTTGAGAAGCAAGAGTCACCCTAAACTCCAAAGCAGGAAAGATTAAGGCAGGTGTGCTTTAAACTTGTTAGCTGCAAAGTAACAAGCTTATACTGCTGGGTTCCAATCCATTTTGGGATGAATTTAAATCACAATAGTTTGCATAAAACAGAACACCAGAGCCACAATCAGCAAGGAGGATGACTGTGAGGCAGGGACCAAGTTTAGAGCGCCACCAAGTCCCAGGGATGGGAGGGAAATGGAAGGACTGAAAATAAATCTGATTTGTTTGGACAGACTCCAGCTTTGATTCCGGCATCAATGCATCACCCAGATTTTCATGTAAATAAAAAAAGACCTCAAAAGTTGACAACTTCCTCCTTATATATTACTTAAAAACAGAACACATGCTCTTCTCTCCCAATCTGTTTTAAAGTGTTTTCATTAAGATCATCATCTTTAAGTGCTTTATCCATTCCCATTCGTGCTGTTTTGACGGTTGGCTAGAAGGAATCAGAGACCATTATATATAAAAACCACTGTAGTGGATAATGTGTTATGTGGGGTTTTTTTTCCCTTTTGCATTTTCCAACCCAAACAGTTGGCTTCCTTTTCTTTCACTTATGGGCAGAGAGAGACTCGTCTGCTGAATATACAGCACTGCTAATCCGACAGTCTTCAGTCCCCACAGAGTCTGTCAGTTCCCCCTCCTCTGAGTCGTCCTCTTCCTCCTGTGCTGATGAACTGGAGGTGGGCCCTCTGCAGGTTTTCAGGTGGCGGGTGAGATGGTATTTGGTTAGATAAGCCTTCGTACATTTTTCACAGACATAATCCCGTTTTCCTTCATGTGAATTGAGATGTTTCTTTAAGTGATTTGTTCTCAAGAACAGCTTATCACACTTGGGACACTTGATCTGGCGTTCTCTAAGAGGAACACAAGAATAAACATTTGATTTGGAAAACAAATGTCAGTTGAGGCACACACTTATTCCTCACAACCTCAGGCCTTGTCAGAGCTCTGAAACCCTACGGTCTAGAATCAGTGTTTTTACATGGCAGATATCTCACACAAGAGTCATAAAACATTTGTGTAGTTTAAACACCCCAGACTGATTTTGCCTGTTTGGGAATTCTATGTAAATATTGGAACTCTGACGTTTTGCTTCTTTCATTCAATGTTTGTTAGAGTCATTCAAGTTGCTGCAAATATCTGCAGTTTATTCCCTTCCATTGTTATAAACCACATACAAATATACCACAACTTATCTGTGCCACTGGATTTGTCTGCTGTTAATGGATATTTTGATGGTTTCCAGGTTTTTTATTATCATAGGCAAGACTGCTATGGACATTTCTGTACTTCTGTGTTGGTTTGCATTTGTACGAGTTTCTCTGGGGCATATACTCAGGAGCAGTTTAGATGGATCACAGGACATGCACACCTTCAACTCCACTAGTTAATGGTGAACTGTCACCCAATGTGGTTATATCAATATACAAATCCATCAAGTGCCATTTCAGAGTTATCGTTGCCCCACATTTTCACCAAAACTTGGAAAACTCAAAGTTGAAAATTTTTGCCAATTGGCCAGTACATAATAGGATCTTACTATGGTGTTAACAATAAATGTACAATAAAAAATTACCATCTCAGAATGTCAGTTGTGTCAAGGTCTGAGTAACCCTAGCCTAGACATTTGAGAGATGAAAAGAACCACAGAAATCACAGACCAGGAATTTTAAAACTTTTTTTTTTTTGAGCAACTGAACCCTATGTCTTAATGAAAGTCCAACATGTAAAATAGATAAAAGGGGGTTAAAATCCTGGAAGGAGTGTAGAATGCAGGGGGAGGATTTGAAGCCTGGCTTCAGCATTTCTACCGCCTTCTCTCAGCAGAGACAGACTGAAGGATTCAGTGGGGATATAGGATGTGTAAAACTAGGTCCTGAATATTAAGCTCCTGCCTTCATGGAGTTTGCATGCTAGTGGAGGACTTAAACCACAAACAAAAGATATATGATATCAGAGAGCAATAAGTACTATGAAAACAAAATAAAGCCAGATAAGAGTGATCAAGTCCTGTTTTAGATAAGTTGTTTAAGACAGGCCATTTTGAGGCGATGGCATTTGAGCAGAAACCTGAATGAATGAGAGAGGAAGACAGGGAGATACCTAGGAGGGGAAGTCTCTAGGCACAGGCAGTACAGGGCAAGGGCCTTGAGAGGGAATGTGTTTAGGAGGCTGAAGTAGAAGCAAAGGGAGGGCCAATGTGGCTAAATCAGAATATGAGAAGAAAAGTAATAAAAGATGAAGTGGGAGATGTAGCCAGGTACCACTACCACATCATGAAGGGACTTCCAGGCTAGGACAAACACCTCTTAACCGAAGCACAATGGGAAGCCACTGGAAAATTATGGAGACAAGCAGTCTGACGTATGTTTCAAGTGGATTGCTCTGGCCACTATGGACAAAATACAGCGTTTGTGTGTGCCTGCTGTGTGTGCATCTATGCTGGGTAATGGATGAGGGGGAGAAGAGCTGAAGCAGGGAGACCAGCTGGAAGCTATTGAAGTGGTCCACACAGAAGATGCTGGTGGTCTGGACTAGGAGACAGTTTAAAGAAGGAAAGAATGGAAGACTAAGTTAAGGATGACCCCAAGGTGTTTGGTTTGAGCCACTGGGATGAATGATGGTGCCATTTACTGAGCTGGTGAAAAATGGGGTAAAATCAAGTTTGTAGAGGTAATATTAAGAGTTGAGCTTTGGACATACCAGGTTGCCTAATGGACATCCAAAACTCAGAGATGCTGAGTAAATGGTTAGATATATAAGGCTGGAGATATAAATTAAGATGGTATCTAAAAAGCCATGGGACTAAGGAGAAGACCTAGGGAGTAGGCGTCACTGCTCTCGCTGTCAAGTTCTTCCGAGGGGAAGGCAACGCCAGTCCTGCCACATGCCTTACACTCTCAGGGGACACTACGGGGAGGAACTCCTCCTGCATTTGGCTTTAGGACTGCAGCTGTTTTCTAAGCAGATAAAAGAGTGAATTCCAGTAATACTATATCCATTCTGAAATACCTAAAAGTAAAAATACAAACACCTCAAGTTTACCAGTGATCTCTATAGAAAGCCTATCATCTCTTTTATGAATAACTTACACTACCTTAAAGTCATGACAGTCCAAACACTTCTATCCCATAGAGTTTGGGAAAGAGGCTTATTATATTCCATCATCCTGACAGAGTCCAGAATCTTAAGAGAATTGTTTTCATTAGTGTATACCTGATAAAGTCAATTCTCAACCCAAATGGAGAGAAATAGTTATACAACAAATATTTTTTAAATGAACATTGCATTGTGCTATGAAATTGCTAAAAAAAGAGTGACTGCAAATTTAGGCATCACTTGAAAGGACAGAAAGTCAATGTCAAGGAATAGAATAAACTCCACTTTACTATATACTAGACAGATCAAATCTGGAATACCATGTTCATTTCTGAGAACTTCTGTGTATCATTACAAAGGGCAAATGTAGAATGAATGGGCAGAGGTTGATATGAACTTGATTCAAGCAAAACTTTTCCTCAAAACTAAATCAACTGTGTGGCACTCAAGAAGAAATACAGAACCACTTGCCAGAGATATTGTGGAAACAAGTATTTCATTTGGAGGAACTCAGTAGCTTTCAACCCTGACTGGACATTAGTCATTTGGGGAGCTTTTAAAAAATACTAAGGCCAGGGCTCTAGCCTTGACCAACTAAATTAGAATCCCTGGAGGTGGGACCCTGGCACCCACTCGTGTTTTTCATGTTTCCCAGGTGATTATGAGCAGTTATGGGTTGAGTGTCTGTGCCCCACTCCACTCCCCCACCCTGCCAAATTCACAGGTTGAAGCCCTAGTCCATAACCCGTTCTGGGATGGTATTTGGAGGTGGGGCCAATGGGAGATAATTCATTTAGATGAGGGCATGAGGGTGGGACCCCTACTATGGGATCAGTGGCCTAAGAAGAAGAGACCAGCTCACTGACTCTCCATCACATGAGGACACAGCAAAAGGGCAGCCGCCGCCTGTGAGCCAGGAAGAGGGACTCATCAGAATCCAACTTTACTGGAACCATGATTTCCAGCCTCCAGAAGTAAAAGAAAATGAACTTCTGCTGTTTAAGCCACCCAGCCTATGGTATTGTGTTATGGCTGCTTGATCTAATATAAGCAGCTAGATTAAGTGATGCCAGAGGTATCTCTGAGGTCTAATAATGTATAATCTATAATATATAATATTTAATAATCAGTGTGTCTAATTCCTAAAAGTTCACACTAATAAGGAAACTATTTAATAAAGGCTTTGTTTTAAAAGGTCATCTGAGAATTAGGAAAGTAGATCCAGAGCCTGGATGTTTTACTGTTTCAGGTTGCATTGTGATTAGGAATCAGGCAAAAGAGATGATGAGATAGCAAAATATTGATCTAAACCCCACAACAAAAACATCGTTTCCATTGAAGAGGGATTTCTAAAGAGTATCTCCATAATATAAGCTAGTACATTCTCCCTCTTCTAACACTTGCTAAAAGCTCAGGACCACCAAATCTGTTCTTTTTTATCTACCACCACCGTGACTAAGGCAGGCTAGGCTTTTAATTACACTTGCATTCATGCAATCAATTCTTGATGGATCTCTGGATATTTTTCCTTCTCCTCCAACCACCCTGTTCTCCTGCCAGAGTATACTCTTTAAAATAGACATCTCACCATGACATGACATTCTTTTCCTTAAAATCCTTCAATGCTTCTACAACAATGCAAATATACTTAACAGTACTGTATACCTGAAAAAGGTTAAGATAGTAAACTTCATATTATGTGGTTTTACCATAATTCACACACATACACACACACACACACTCACTGAAATCACAGAATTGTGCCTGCCACATAGGAAGAAAAAATCCTCCCATTCTTTCCAGAATGAAACTTAATTCCCTTAGCTGACTAGACGGCCCCCCATGGCCTGGCTGCCACCTGCCTCTCCACTGCCCACAGGCACACTCTGCTCTGACTCTAAAGACCCACTTGCACTCCAGAGTCTTTTTGCATCTACGCTTCTAAACATGCCATTCCCTCTGTCGAAAACACTCTTCCCATCCCTTAACTTCCTTTACCTCCCTGGATAGTTCTAATTTATCTTTAATGCTTAGCCCAAACTATCTGGGAGCTTTCCCAGCACACCACGGGCTGGGGAAGGTGACCTCTCCCAGGGCCTCAGGAGCCAACGCTCTCTAACAGCTCCAAGGGCAGCACGGTGTTTACTTTCTCTTGTTCCTTATTAGACTTCGAGCTCTTTAAAGACAAGGACTGCATCTTTCATCTCTCTATTTTCACCACTTAGCATAATGCCAGGCATCAAGGAGGGACTTCAAAAAATATTTGTTACATTAAATCAATGAGATTATGGTCTGAAAATATGAATAAAAGTAAATATAGAGAGTAGAAATATAAAATAAGAAGAGCAAATGAGTGAAACTCTCCAGGATAAAACCAAACACAGTTCCCCAACCTCTGCCTGGCTATGCGGAACACAGGCGGCACCTCTCAGGCACCAAGGCCGGAGACAGAGGGCGAGGCAGTGGGTGGCCCTCGAGCTCACCTGCAGGGCACCTTGGCTGGGGGGAACTTACTGCGTGTGGATGAGCATATGCTGCTTGAGGTCCTGCCTTCGCATGAACAACTTGTCACAGTAATCACACTTGAGATTCTTCTCGCCCGTGTGGATAACCATGTGGGACTCCAGGTGAGCCTTCTGGGTGAAAGACTTGTCACACAAAGTACACCTGTAGTTCTTCTGACCTGCGCAGTGACCCAAATTATCACCCTGGATACAACCGCCACTAACATTCTCAAGGTTAACAGCCACGTGTCTGGGTTTGTGGCAGATGCAGAGATAAAACAGAATGCACTGGGAACTGGAATGTCCCTTTCTAATGCTGCCTACTTAGAGCCACTCTGAGCCACTGAGTTTATATTCTGCAACTAAAGCAGGCAAAGCTAGTGAATCTGACCTCCTTCTAGGGCTGCTGACATTTTTTTCTTTATAGCTGACACATGATTTTTAAAAATCTGAAAAAAAACCACTTATAATCCTAGTGCCCAACTTTCCTCAATTATTTTTTTTTAAACTTCATGAATTCTAGTACTTGTCTACAAACAACTTTTACAACCTAACATTTTAAAGTTTTCTCTCTCTTTTTAAACACATATGACCTTATAAACTAGAGATGAAATAAAATCCTTCCAAGAATGCAGAAATAAGATTACTCCAAGTCAGGTTCTTACAGGCTAGTCAGCATTTTCAGCTTTGTGAGCAACTACTCAGTCTTAATGCAAAAGGATGAGGAAGAATTTTACTTTCAAAGATTTAGAGAACAAATTACCCAGCCAAGAAAACCAAAGCTTCATCAGTTATTTTGTAGCATGTATGAAAAAACTAAGTGCTAAAAGAAACGGTGCAGTTTGCATGGAGTTCAGAGAGTAAAAATTAAAAAAACAAATTTTGGCAGCATTTATTAAGCAATATTCAAAAGAGAAACTGGCTTTGGCTGGTGACTGGGGGTGAACTCTAATGGAAGGCTCAAGTTGTTTCGGTAGAATTCCCTTTGCATTAAGTCCAAACCCTTGGATCAACTGCATTTTCCAGTCACCCTTTAGAAAGTGGAGAATCTTAATTACTGGAAGGAATACCCTCTGACCAAGTCTGATTAAGTTATGCCACCAAGATTTACCACCCAATGAAGTCCTGCTGATAGCCGGCTAGTTTCGTTCCCTAACATCAATCTTATCTCAACTCTACCTACAAGACTATCTCACTGCCAAGCCTTTACTACCATAATTTCTAATTGTTGCAAAATTACATTTTGATGGTTCAGTACAACTTACCTGTATGTATCTTGAGGTGGGTTCGCAGGTTGCTGGGATCACTAAAAGCCTTACTACAGAAATCACACTTGTGGGGTTTCATACCCATGTGACCCATGAAGTGGACATGAAGTTTGGAAGGAGAGATAAAGGCCTGGGGACACATTGAGCACTTCCACTTCCTTTCTTTGCTGTGGCCTGGCCCGTGGCTGCTGCTGTGGCCCTGGCTAGGAAGATGGTTATGGATGTGGCTGGTTAGGTGGGCCTTGAACTCTGTATAGGAATGGCACTCCTTGCCACAGTTACAGAGGTGCACATCTGGGTGTTCGGGAACACCTTTAAAGAAGAAAAATACTCAGTGTCTCCTAATACTCAATTTTAAAACTTGTCCTTGATATTAATAATTGTTGCTTATAATTCTCCCTTCTACCAAAATTTCCAACTTGCCCACCACCTGTAACACTAAAACACCTTGTTCAATGCTCTATTTCCAGTAACTCCAAGAGTGTGCCAGGCACACAGGAAGCACCTGGTAAAACACTGGATTCTAGAGCATCTTTACTAGGCAAAAAAAGCTTAAGATTTTGCAGCACGCACAAATTCTTAGGCATTACTTGCCTTCACAACACAGTGCGAAGAAGAAGACTATGAAGGTTAAATCCAGTCAAAGAACTTTGCTGTCCGGAAAAGATAAGTAATGATTCTATAGCATCTTACTATGCCGATAGACAGTGACTGCAATGGGGTGGGGGCAGTGGGAGGGGGGGACTTGATAACATGGGTGAATGTTGAAGCCACAATGTTGCGCATGTGAAACCTTCATAAGATTGTATATCAATGATACCTTAATTTAAAAAAAAAAGAACTTTGCTGTCCTCTATGAACTTAAATTGAAATGGTACCGGCTCAAAAAGGCAGCCTCGGAAGCTTCAAAATCACCCAATCAGAAGTCTTAAGACATAAATTCGTTTCATATGAATACTGCTTGGCTACGACACTCAGCTTATGAAGAACCTCACAAATTTTAACACTTCCAATGTAGAGGCAATATTCTACTTTTATATATACAAAGGTATGGCCTGTAATTCATTACCAAAATTTCACTCCTGAGTGTCGGTGTTGTTACTATGCTAGATGACAAACAAGTCTTACATTAACTTACCAATCTGCTGAGCATAATCCCGGCTATAATAATAAAGCAGTTCGTTTTCAGGAGGGATATCTTGTGAGGTGCAGAAGTAGATTTTTCCATCATGGGGATAAGCCACCAAATTCTGCTCTTCCCTGTTCCTAATAGATCGAGCATATTAATTTTGAAATATATAACAAACACATCATATCCCTACAGCAAAATCCTATATGAAAACTCAGATACAACTATTTTCTCTGGGTCATTTTTCTAATTCCCTATCCTACCTATTAGAAAGGGTTTGTTTAGAAACAGAATTCTTACTTCAATATATCAGTTGATTGCCCTTTATAGTTAGAAAAATTAAGAATCTACTACTGGAAGCAAGAAAAGTAAATAAAATGAAATCTTAAAAAAATGTGACAAAGACATAGAGATAGATATATGATCAAGTATTAACTACAATAGCCTGAGGCACTGACTAATAGCCAACAGAAAGAGAAGATACCCACTTGCAAATTCAATGGTGAATGTACCTGCTAAGTTGAGCAAACTATTAATAAAAAAGGACAGTTTCTGGTGCTTTGATTTATAATCACCATTCGTCAAAAACTACTGGGCAGAAAAAGACAAAAAGCCTTAGGCCTTAAAGTATGTTCGGATATCAGTGTAATTTGCATTCTTCTGCTCTCCCCTATTTTATGAACAGCTTCCTACAGAAAAACATCTGAATCTTAACTATTTCTTTCATCCAAGACCTCTCACCTGGCTTTGCGCACAAACATCATCCAATTACACTCGTTTTCATCAGTGGTAATGATGCAGAATTCTAGAACACCGTTGTGATATATCTGCCAACAGAAGGCAAACATCCATGTAAAATGAACTGACAAGCAATACAAAGTGCTACTAAATTTAGGCCAGCAGTATCTCATTTACTTTGCTAGGTACCGGCTTTCCTGGTCAGGACGAAAACATTTTTGCCTTCTCACACTTTGTCATTTCACCAGTCCCCCTATTTCCGGCTAGATAACAAAGACTGTAAGAGACCTATAGTTAGTGCTCAGTGTACAGAATGACACTGCTCTTAATTATTCACATTTTGGCTTGACTGGAAAAGACAAAAATCATCTGCTTCATCTACTTCAAAAATCATCTTCATCATCTACCACACGATCCCACTGAATAACTAACTGAGTGGACACTAAGTTCAGAGAACCGTCTCTTCTCTTTTTTTGTCCAATGGACCTAGCACTCTCCTATGTTCTATCCCAATGCCAGTGGCACCTCACCTTTCCAATTATTGCAAGACTGACTTTCCCTTCACTTCAATTTTGCAAGCATCATTCACAATCTACTAAGATTCTGTATAAAACATGTTTTAGGAATAGCTGTTTATATCAAAACCTTGTGTTTCTAGCCTCTCCCATTAGAAAACTAGAGAAATAACCTTAGCTTCTAATTCTAGAACTGTTTCCCAAGCTAAATATTTGAAGAATGTTTTAGTTGATTACAAAATAAGACTTTCATCATATAAACAAAGTCCATGGCGTCAGCTGCCACATGTAATCAAAATGAAAAATCAATGGGTTATCTAACAAAATGGAAACTCAAATAGTTTTTCTACATTCAATAGCTTGTGTTTGCTATGTATTATAATTTGGCTACCAAGAACAAAAAGAATGTAATATTAAATATATGACTGACAGGTGAAAGGCACTGCATGAGTCTTGGTTGATTTTAACTTCCACATTGCTTTTTACTACCTTGGTATAATAAAACATTCAAAAGTCACAGGAAAGTTTCATAGACACTGACCTTCCAGATATGGCTAACTGTCTTATCTGTCCACTCTGCTACTTCCATGGAGTGACTCTGCTGGCCAACGAGCGGCCCAAAGCAGGTCCGCACAGGAATGGTTTCTCCAGTCCACACACCTGTCAGTGGAAACACACCAACTACATAATCAAAGACTTAAACATCTAACAGGATATAGCAGAGTAGCTTAACTTATGCAAAGAATCTTATTTTCAGTGACCCTAAGAACTACTGACATTCCAGCACTCCTGAGAGGTAGCAAAGTCTTATAGGATCTGCCCTATACATACGGAAAATGTTGTGAACAGATTAAATGGTCTCAGAAGAAAAATGCAGAGTAAGGAGCAGTATCAGACATTCCTGAATCCCAGTTTTATACACAAGGAACCAAGCCATGTCCCTCCAAGTATGTTACTTTGAAGTTAATACAGAAAAAGACTAGAGAACATTATTCTATTATAAAAATACAAAGCAATTACTACAAAGTCAGTCAAACTTCTAAAATCACTTGTGCGTGAAGTACTGTTCTGTGCTGCTGAAGCTGGTTAATGCTTACAGCTGACACAGGCGGAGCACCAGCTGAAAGAATGGGCCAAATTTCATATTCTCAAAGAAATGACACAGTAATTCAGAAACCATGTTAAATTCTAATATGGGTGAGCACACTCTGGCAGTCTTATTCCTTATTCCTTTTCCCTCATTTACAAATATTTAATCTAAATATCTTTTGTGATAAAAGGTTATCAGTGGTGTCTTTTCCATGTTTTATAAAAGAAACCAAGTTTCATGGAGTGTTTGTATGGCAACTATTAGTGGCTGAAACAGCTGAGAATGAAAGTCAAGTCTTCAAAGACCCAGACTAGGATTCTCCCCTCTGTTAAATTCTGATTCTAAGAAAGGGGAACTTTCCCAATAAAGTTCTCAACTTGATTAGTGCAGCCACCACTGGACAAGACAAATATTCACTAAAAAGAAAGGTCTTAAGCCATAAATTGACTTTTGGATCAACCAATAATTACTCAATTATACACATTCACTTTTACAACTCTACTCCACAAAAGAAGAAGAGACTTGTTGGGGTTTTATGACTTCATGGTTCTTACCAACTTCTGCTCCCACAATTGACTGCCGGAGAACAAGTTGCTTTGGGAGAGAAAGCCTTGCTCTGCTCTCAATTGGAGTGTCAGGAACAAAAGTCACTGGTCCGTGATCTGGGCAATCTGAAGGATAGGCTCGGTCACAAAGAGTACACCCTGCAGATGGGAAATTCAAGAGATGCAAATGGGATGAGTTCAAGCAGGCCGAATGACCACTTGCTTTTTTATTAGAATGCCAATCACAAAAAACACAACCAGTAAGAAGCAAGGTTCTACTACAAATACTCTGATCAAAGGAAAACTTTCTTACACTAAAATATATATCCACACTTATCTCTCCTCAGCAAGATCTGATTTTTTTCTTTTGATCCAACAGGACAAGTTTCCTATTCAGTGCATAGGAGAAAGACTGATCAATTCCAGAATTACTTCTAGAACCAAGCACATCATTCCTTACTTTAAACAGAGAAGTAGTGCCTTTAGATATGATGTTCTAAGGTCTAAAAGATTCCAATCCTACCAAACTGTAGGTGGAAAATGAGTTGAAATGCTGTTAGTCACACAAAGCCAAACTAAGGTGACGCTGCAGGTCAGTGGAGTCAGAGCCAGCTGCACGCACCACTGTTCTCTTTGGCTTCACTGAAAACAAACTGGGCGACTAACTTTTGATGACAGATTCTTGAGACAAAAAATAATCTGCAACCTATTCTGTGGGACAGCAATAGAATCATTTTCTTGCACATATGTTTGCTTAAAATTTTTAGTTTCTTATTGTTCATATGGTCTTTCTTTTTGCATTAGAAAGGGGGCTGCCTTTATATACTGTTCTCTATGCTTACTATTACTTCACTTTTGCAAGCTCATTTGAGTGTCCTCCATAAAGCTTCTGTTCTATTCTTTTACTTTCCTTTCTCTCTGTTAAGAAGCAGTATTCATGACCCTATTAGTCAATGACTGTGTTCAAACTTTCCAAATTTGTTCACAAAATAATTCAAATACATAAATCTTATAACCACTGCCATCCAAGTTTCTTTTTCCCCCTAAGCAATGTTAGAAATTTCTACTTAAATGGCGTATTATTACATGGGTACATTTAGGCAAAGCAGTAATATATTACTTTTTTAACTACTGTTTGATTAAAAATTCTTTGAATATCAGATTAGGGATCCCCTCCCTATACTCAAGGAAAACTGATTCTCCAATGTGCTTAACAAAAACCCATGTTGTATCTCCAAAGGAGATGCAGCTTTCATACTGCAAAAAAATGTTTGAGGTTTCTCCAAAGACAAACAAATGGCCAATAAGTACATGTAAAGATGTTCAACATCATTAGTCAGGAGGGAAATGCAAATCAAAACCACAATGAAATGTCTCTTCACACTCACTAGGATGGCCATAATAAAAAGAAAATTAAGTGTTAGCAAAGATGTGGATAACCTGGAACTCTCATACACTGATGCTGGGAATGTAAAATGATGCGGCCATCTTGGAAAACAGTCTGGGCCATTCCTCAAAAATTAAACAGAACAGTTCCACTCCTAGATATGTATATATCCAAGAGAGCTTAAAACATGTTATACAAAAACCTATAAATGAATGTTCATAGGTGCATTATTCATAATAGCCAAAAAGCAACTAAATGTTCATAAGTGATAACTGGATAAACAAAATGTGGTATATCCATGCAACAGAGTATTATTCAGCCATAGGGGAATGAAGTACTGATACATGCTACAACATGGACAAGCTGTGACAACGTTACGCTAAGGGAAGGAAGCCTGACACAGGCCACATGCTGTGATAACTCCAACCATGTGAAATGTCCAGAATAGGCAAATCCGGAGATAGAAAGGTGATTAGTAGCTGCCTGAGAATTGGTGGGGGCAGGAGAAGATGATGAGTGACTGCTCATGGGGTTTCTTTACAGCGTGATGAAACTTTTAGGAATTAGATAGTGATGATAGTTGCACAATGTTGTCCATATACTAAAAGCCAAGAAACTGTTCACTTTAAAATGTGTATGTGAATTATATCTTAAAAAAAATTAAAAAAACACCAAATCAATCCAATCAACAAGCTCTGAACTCTCTGTAAATATCCTTCATTTTTCTTCATTACCCCTACTCTGGGTTGGAAAACCATCACCTTTCAGTTAAATTACCACATCGTCTTTACCTGTGCAACTGTCTCTTAAACAAATTAGTCAGTCTACTCTGCTGCAGAACTGCCTCCCCCTAGAGCCACCGACTAGCCTCAGAAGACCCCTTGTGCTCTGGCTCCTACTTCTTTCATTTATCCTCCTCACCCCCACTTGATGCTTCAGTAACTCGGAGCCACTCACAATTCTTTTAGGTCTAGACACTTACAGGTAAACTCCTGTCCGGGACACTATTTTTCTTGATCCTCAACTGCCGACATCTTTCCTGTCCTTCAGGGCTGTGCTAACATCTATCCCTCTCCTGGTAAGTCTTCCCTGCCCCTTCCACGGCCTGGTTAGATCTCCCCCTCAGGCTTCTTTACCACCTTGTACTTAATCCACCTTTCCCCTTACTATACAGTATTGCAATAGTCCATGTACGCTTGCCTATCTACATGCGTACATATGCTCACTGCCCCATGCTTCCCACCAGACTACAAGCTCCTTCAAGGCACGTGCTGTCTCTTGCAGACTGTTTCCTAGCGTGCTTCTAGCACAAAAGTCAGCGTATAGTAAGCACTCAGCATGCTTCCTGTATGAATGCAGCATGTAGTAACACCAACAAATTAACTGTTTTCCTATTGCTTTTTGTTACTGCTGCCCTATGAAAAGAACTTTCACATACCCAACTATAATTTATATGCTTTCTGAGCAAAATTAAAATTGTACTTGTATCTGTCTACATTTTTCCATGGGGATAAAAGGTACACCTATCTAGTAAATTTGTCTGACATTGAAAAAGCACATGGCATGTCACAGAGAATACCCTACTGAAGTTTATGTCTGTAATGAACCATTTGGGAACCCTTGGGAAATACCTTAATTATTAACCTAATAAGCTTATATGTAAAATATAGAACCAACTACGTTTCCTTGCTTCAGGAGGACACTGTCAGAACCAACAAAATGTCTGTATCACGTGCCTGGAGGAAAAGGCACCACACTACTATAAAGGACAAATGTGAAGGCAAAGAAAATTTCCAAAGTCTAGTTACTTTCTATACCCCCTCAATCAATACCTGACTTTGTGTCTAAACCTGTTAGGGATGATGGCCCTTTCTACCAATATTTCCAAAAGAAAAAGGCTAAGCACACTCACAAATTGTAAACAAGGTGGCCATATTTTCCTTGTTTGAATTGGAGTCTTCCATTTGCAGTGAAGGTGGTACAAAAGAAAGACTGTCTGAAGATACATCTACATGACCTGTCCCCATAGCAACCTCCTGGGTGATGGAGGAGACGGCCACAGGTTCTAGGCTTAGGCCAACTTCATGGAGGGAAACAGATTCTAGGGAGGCGAGGTTGTGTGAGGTAGAGAGTGCCACGCTTACAGAGTTGGTGCTCATGGCCACGGTGTGGATGGAGTCACTGAGGGCACTGTCAGACATCCCGTTGACCCGACTTGCAATGTGATCAGTCTCCATGACTACGGGGAGCTCCAGGCCACTCCCATGAATGGGTATCACACCACCATGTCCCACAGTGTCTGCTGCAAGATTGTTGCTCACAGAATCCACAGACAGAGGCTCATGACTTCTGGAGCCATTTGGGATTTGGGAATGCTCGCCAGCAACGCCGTCCATTGTAAGCTCTTCCGCCATTCCATCTGTAGAGATGGGGCTGGTAACCCTAGAGACGTTTTCCATAGTGATTGCTGTGTCCAAGGCCACCTCATGGCCATCACTGGGATGAAGATTTTGGGCACCATGTGTGTTCACAGAGCGAGAGTCTATTGAAACAATGCCTGGTTCTAATCCAACATTTGCACTGGACTGATAGGGATCTAGTGCTGAAGCATTATTGGAGATAGATAATGCTGTATTACCATCAACATTTATAGAGTTAGGGTGGATATACTGAGGAGGTGGTCTGTCAGCTAAATAAGATAAAATGCCTGAGAAAAGAAAAAGATGAGACATCAGGTACTTTTTAGTACATCGTTAAATATAAGTAATTCCAAAGGAAAGCTATTTTCCTTATAAATGTAACTAAATTAAAACAATCACCTACCTACTTCTTAATATCCAATAGTGAAAACAGCAAAAAGTGTTCCTCAAGTCTTCAAGAACTGAGGGTAAGAGTCTGCTCTATTCTTTCCTCTAATGTTCCCCAAATAACCATAATACTCACCAGGTAGAATAGTTCTGAAGTAGCTGCTCTCCAGGTGGGGGTAAGGTGGTGGAGGCAGGGTGTAGTTTCTCTCGGGTAACCCACACATCACCCCTCGATCCCCAATACCCATTGGGAGCATCAGAGACAAAGCAGAAGGCAGAGAGCTCAGGGAGGGACCCAGGTTTGGAATTGCCACAGGCAGGCCTACAAAAAAAAGTTTTTTCTTCAATTAAAAGAAAGTACTTAAAAATTCTCTCTATCATCACTGGCTATACTCTTAGGAAAGCTTTTGCATATGGGGAAAACTGTCCCGTAGAAGCCCTTCGTATCCCCAGACAGGTAGGTTGCGCAGACATCCACAAACAGGCCCTACGGTCAGTTCTCAGGTCAGGTTTAAGTTGTCAAGCTGATCCTCCAGTTGTCTGTTCTGCTCTCAAGTACTAAAACATTTAATTATAATTAAACACCTAGTTTAAATATGATATAAGAAAATGTATTAGACACAGAGACAAAAAGAATGGGAATATACCACAGTTCATGGGAGTGGTCTCAGAGTAGTGATGTTACAGATTTTTTACATTTTTTTAAACTTTATTATATTTTCTATTTCATAGGGTAAAGACTTTCACTTTTAAACAACAGACATACTTCTACTTGGAAAATAGTCTAAATAAAAGTCACATGTAAAACTGTCCACATATACTTTCATCATCTTTTGTATATATGCTGTACTCCAGGATTAAAAAGACTTAAACTCTGGATTCTATCTACCTCGGATTATATCTACCAAGTGCTGAAGTGACCGCTTACTGTGTCTGAGTATTTTAACAGGCAGCACTGATTTGTGTAACTTTTGCAAGTGGCAATATTTTCTAATATGCTTTCCCTCCATAGTAAGAGTGCCCACCTAAAGGAATGCCTAAGGCATAATGAAGTGAGCTAACAATAACTTTTTACACATTTCTGTTGTAGACACTAAAAGGAATGTGAGGAGATCCTAATTTAGATGACTCTTATTTAAAATGAGTTACATTTTAGCAATTGAGCAGGTAATTCTCTACACAGAACTATTTAAACAACTTACTGAGTCAAAATACTCTTAAACATTCTCTCTTCTTTATTAATAAAGTCCAATACATTACAGTGTCGTAGACCCTTAAGAATCACCAACTTACCATTGTTAAGAGTCAACAGATTCCTTTTTCCCTTTCCATGTCAATAGAAAATTAAACGAGACAGATAAAAAGATTTAAAAAACCCAGTGATGGGGGGGAAGCAAGCATTTCCTACACTAGTATTCTGAGTACTGAGGCTCATGGGAGTTCCACGTAGGAGCCCGAGCTCTGGGGCCTCTCCTTTCCCTGTAATTCTGGGCCTGGAGCATTTGCAGTTGCTGACAATTTCAGATGTAGTAGAAATGAAGCTCAGTTTCTCATGGGAACAGTTGGAGTAACTCTGATTCTCTTCTGTTAACCCAGGGACAGAGTGTGAACCAGACAGGTAATCCTAGATAAAAGGCCAAGTCAGTTACAGCTCCAGAGAAAAAGCCACCACATCCCCAGAAGAGGACTATTAGAAAAAACTGCCACTTCTATCCATTAGAACTACAGTATTCTACAAAAATGTTTTCTCCCATTATGCTACCACTTGGGTAAGTTCCATTCAGATCTCTTTGACTTTTCCCCTCCACTCTTAAAGGACCTGCACTTCTAGGCTCCATTTAGAATTGATACTGCAATTATGTGTTGCAATTCCATTATTCTCCCTTACCACTCACCTGAGGCAGGGATGGCATTGTGGGTGGGTGAGGTGGCCAACCCCAGGTGACTCCCGGAGACCGGCAAGGCATTGCTCACAGAGGATGAAGTCAGCTGCTCCATCCCCACTGGGCTCAGGTTCATTTCATTCATCCTAAGAGAGAGCATACACAACCAGCTGGGCAAAAATTACTTCAGTGACTCTGTGTAAGGTATTGGAACACCTGAAACAATGTGGCTGAGCAAACACAACTTGGCCAACTAATACTTCATATTTATGCTCACAGTTCTATGAGAGTCATATTCTACTGGTAAGGAGAGTGAATTCAGAGGCATTAGCTCAGCGAATGTTATATAGCAGGAACAGGATTAACTCAGGCGTGCCTTGTTCCAAACCTTATGCCCACTAAAGCAAAGTTTGCAGTCCTTACAGCACATTGGCAGTGAGGGTTTGTTCCTTTAAATTACCTAAGTTTTTCTTTCACAATATTTATTTTCCCCAATTGGCTTATGACTTCAAACCAGGATTTTTATAAACAATTTGTTTTAACCTGCTCTAAAACTTTTTACTAATTCTTTTTACCAGTAATTAAAGTGATACTGAACCTGAATTAGACTATCAATGATGTAAAGAAGTGTATTTTCTCCATGAATCATTTTATTAAAATCCTGTATAAATATCTGAATTAATCATCTTAATAATATCTTCCACATACTAAGGTTCATTATGCAAGCTTTGCTAGAAACTTTATTAAAAATTAGTTCATGGGGACTCTCTGTACTATCTTTGCAACTTCTCTATAAATCTAAAATTATTCCCACAATAAAAAGTTTATTTTTAAAAATTCCAAAAAAATTAGTTCATATTCTCTAATGCTTCAGAGTAAGATAGATGAGGAAACTGAGGCTCCTAGAGGGCATGTCGTATACCCCAAATCACACAGCAGTTAAGTGGAAGCACACAGGCCATGCTGCAAAATACTGTCAAAAAGTTTCAATACACAAAACTTTCTCTGATCTATGACCATTTTTGGCAGGCTGAACAATCGAAGAATCACCTTTTCTATGCACTCCATCTTGCATTGCCATTAATGTCATCAAAATAAGAGTGATAAGATTTGATTTGAACAAGACATTATTGGAGGTTATCAGTATTAATTTCTATTTCAGAATTTAGAGTCTGCCATGTTATAAACATTATCATTTCAAGAGGCTAGCCGACAGGCTAAGCAAAGGAGGTCACTAATGATCTCCAATCCCTATATTGAGTATAAACGTGAGGAACAGTAATACGAGTTCTGTGTGTGCCTATGTACAGGGAGCGGTAAGGAGTGGGGGGGGGGCATCAAATAGGTCTACATAGTCCTTAGCAGTGAAAACAAATCTAAATAGGTTTTTAATTTGAAAAACAGCAATATCAGTTACTGATCAACCTGAAAATAATAACTAACACTATTCTCTTACTGTGTTAGGCACTGGGTTAAGTGATTTACATGTAATTACCTCACCTAACCCACATAACTACTGAGCTAACTATTATTCTTAATCCCATTTTAGAGATGAGGAAACTGAGACTCAGGCTAAAAATCTTAACCCAGGATTACATAATTAGTAAGTGGCAGAGTTGGGATCTGAATCCAGGTCTGCCTAATGTAAGAAACCCAAGTTCTTAACAATTAGAAAAAGACAGGTACACTAAAAAAAACTTTTACTCAGTTCCAATACATCCAATACATTTTTATTGTGGGGAATGTTTAAAGTCCCACACAGAACTATTTGTGCATTATTCAGTATGCACAGTTCAACCTTATCCCTGGCCAGGTTATCTCATAAACTAAGCTCCTAGACATTAACGAAGTGTGCAAGGCCAAGAGAGGATAGTACCTTTTATAGAGAAGGCACTCTTAAATATTTATTTGATCTGGATGAAGCAATCTCATCCTTACTAAACACACACAAACCAGGGACACTTAAGGTGTCCTTAAGGGACAACACATTTAATAGCAGTATTTAATTATGCTATAAAAGAATGCAGAAAAAATTTTGTATAGCCTAAAGAAACAATTGCTGCCTTAATTGTTAAAGTTTCTTGGCTTGGGTGGGTTTAAAACAGACTTTTCTTGTAATTGTTTTACAGTACAAACAATAACTAAAACCCTACAATCACTGGAGCAGTAATGACATACCCCAAATTGGTTACAATCATTTCTAAAATGTAATTTAAAGTCTGTAGCTTCAAAACCCATTCTGAGCATTCCTGAATACTAATCTGCCTACTGGATCTCAAGATAAAGAATGAAAACGGTGTTTCTAGGTTGACTCCTAGGCCTTCTCAAACCAGTTCAAACCAGAGTTTAATGTGAGTGGCTCAGCAGATTTTTGCTTTATTGTGAGTCACTAAAATGTGATGACCTCAGCAGCCATAAACCAAAAGGTAACTAGTATGCCACAGAGAGGAAGCAGATGAAGGGAATTTACAATATGATCCTCATAACACTCCCTCATTCTAATGTGCAAGTCTATTGAACCTACTTTTCTTCTATGGGAATTCTAAGTGGTAATCACGGAAGGAGAGACAGAATCAAGTACTAAGCTCTCTCTTCTTCCCTATGCATTGGTGATAAAATCATTACCTTTGTATTTCTACAGTTTATGTGTGTGTTTCTAACTGAACTATATATGAACCATTTGCCAGTTGATTTTATAACTTTTTCTTATATAAGAAGCTAACTGATATGCAGTCACTTTGCAAAATGCAAGACAGTTTCAGTAATTTCAGATGTATTCATTTTATCTTCCCCATCCTATACACACAGCCTAGGAAAGAAAGAGCCCTAAAAGAAAAGCCAAATTTAACTATATTTGGCATCATTTTGCAGTGGCACGGTATCACAAAGTACTTGAAACATTACCATAAACCCTACAAAATTAAGAAGTTCATTTCTCCCTATTACCACCCGAGCCATAGGGTAACCAGAAAAACTCAAAAACCACCATGATGAGCCACAAAAAACTTTGGAATCCAGAGACGAGATATTAAAAGCTCAAATAACTCAAAAGCAAAGGGAAAATGTGTCGACCAGCCAACAACAATCAATGTATGGCTATTTGAAACTACTCTTCACAATTGTAGTACATTAGGTTGAATGGGTGTATATTCAACCCAACTCCAGTTTATGGATTTCTTGTTCTTTTGGGGGCAGAAATCCCTTTGCAAGTAGCACCTGTAACTTCTGAATGACGCCAAAAACAAAGGCACTTTGAACTCTCACTCGCCAGATGTTTTTCAAAGACGTCAGCACCGCGGAGTCCACCAGGTTACTCACTCGTGATGCATCTGTTTGGGGCCAAGTGTCAAGAGAAAAGCGCAACCCGTGGCGGGGAACCGGCATTAGGGTTTGCGTTCCAGGATCATGTGCTACCGAATCTTGCTTAGAACCGCTGCACTAACGCGGCCACTCGTCCCCGGGGCCGCCCAACTTCTCCCGAGGGGCGGCGGCGGCGCAACCTGCCAAGAGATGGGCATGCCGGGGGGCAGCCGGGGCTGGTCCTCCAAAAGCTCCGGGAGGGCGGCTGCCCAACCTGACGGGGGGGACAAGAGCGGTCACCGAAACACGGGGGGGGGTGCAGCCCCGGCCCCCTCAACCACCGGAGAGCCCAGGCGCTGCGGACACCGTCTCCCAAGGGCGGCCAACTGCCCACCGGCTCGGGGCCCGCCGGCCGGGCCTCCCTCCCCCCGCCCCGGCCCGCGCTCAGCCCACCTGCCGGCCGCGCGGGGAGCACGCGCGCCTGCCCCGCTGCTTTGTTCCTCATCCGGGCAGAGCTCGCTCGGGGCCCTGCCCGCCCGCCCGCTCGACTCCGCGCCCCGGGGGCCGCTCGCCTAACGTTTCCCGCCTTGCCCGCGGTCTCCCCAGGGCCGCACCCTCCGAGGCGCGTTTCCGGCTCCCCAGCCACTCTCGGCGCCCGCCGCTCCGCCCCTCGGGCGTGCGCCCCTCCCCGCCGCGGCCAGCAAGCGGCGCCCGCGTTCCGGCGGGCCCCTCCCGAGCCGAGCCTCTGCCGCGCGTGCGCAGCGCGGGGACCGGGCCGGAGCGGGGCGGGCCGCAGGAGACTCGGCCAGATCCAGTCGAGCGCCGAGCGATCGACCCACAGTTGCTAGGCAACCAGGACTGAACCGCGATGAGAGGAGTGGGTTGCGAGTCCCCTAAACCCTCCAGACTTAGGGTTTCAGTCTTTATGGCATTCCTCTCCTAGGGAAGCGTGGGTCCACGCAAGTCCTCAAGATCGGAAATAAGAGACTTAAGCCCAGAGATGCTGTCGGTGTTGCCCAGGAGGAAGTGGGATTGTATCCTGTTTTTCACCACATATTACCCCTGAAGGTTGTCCAGTTTCCCTGCTTCAAGTCATTAATGGTGGTGTTGGGATTTTGTACAGATTTCCTTCCCCTTCTCTCTTTGCCCTTCGTTTCCTCCTGCATGCCAGGCACTGTACTAAGCCGTAGGAGTATGGAGATGGTTTTTAAGGAAAGTGTTCTCTACTTCATGAAGATTGGACATTGAAACTACAAAGCTCTGCCTGGAGCTTCCATACACGGGCAGAACAGCAGAGTCCCAGGAAAACTTCCTTTCACTCAGAAAACTGTGATGTTGAATTACATCTCAAACACAGTGATACAAAATAAGAGTAGGTCTCAACCTTTAACAATTTACAGTCTAGGGGGACTGGTGAGTTTTGAAAGTTTAATCTCATGAAAAAGGACAGAGGCACACACACTATTTTAGATGAGAACTGGGAGTGGTGTCAACTCACACAGTTTCCTTTTCTTTACTTCTCAAAAAGGGAAAGCACATTCCCAATGAGGAAACCAGTCCCTGAGCATTCTCAGGTCGCACGGATTTTGCTCTCTTGTTGACAATAAGCAGAAGTCTGAACCAAGAAAGTCATCATATCACAAGTGAGAGACAGCAGCATTCTCTAAAATGCCACTTCAAACATGGGACCTAGAGAATGATGATGTGTCTTATTAAAAGCTTAATAATTTCACTCTGGTTTTCCATGCCTATTTTTTTGAACAATTTATTAATTTCAGAGGTATATGTAAAAATCAGGTCAGCTAAATGTAAGAGCTAAAACCATAGTACATATAGAAGAAAATATAGGAGAAAATTCTGTAACCTTGAGAGGACACAAAACCCAGGAACCCCTAAAAAGTCAATAAATTGAACTTCAAAATGTAAACTTTTGGTTTTGGAAAAGCACTGTCAACCAAATGAAAGGTCAAACCAAAGACAGGTCGAATATATTAGCAGCACAAATATCTGACAAGGGACTTTTATTTGAAATCTATAAAGAACTTTTTACTCATTAACCCAGAATGCAAACAAACCAATTTTTTATTAAGGTATCATTGACATACACTCTTATGAAGGTTTCACATGAAAAACAATGTGTTTGCAACATTCACCCATTTTATCGAGTCCCCCCATCCCCCAATGAGATTAGTGTCCATCAGTGTAATAAGATGCCACAGAGTCACTACTTGTCTTCTCTGTGGCCCCCCACACACCATGTGTACTAATCATAATACCCCTCAATCTCCTTCCCCCTCTCTCCCCACCCACCTTTCACCAAAGGATAACTCCCCTTTGGTAACCTCTAGTCCCTTCTTGGAGTCTGAGTCTGCTGCTGTTTTGTTCTTTCAGTTTTGCTTTGAACAACCCAATTTTTTTAACTGGGCAAAATACTTTAACAGCTGGTTTACAAATGAAACTACATAGATAGAAATTAAGCACACAAAAAGATGAGCAACATTATTAGTTATCAGGTAAATGCAAATTAAAACAGGATGAGGTAACATCACACCCCTAGAGTGGCCAAAATTTAAAAGACCGTGTGCACTAGTGTTGATGCAGATTAGAAGCAATTTGAACACTCATGTTTTACTGATGAGAATGAAAAATGCTATAGCCACTTTAGAAAACAATGTCTTAAGCTGTAGGATTCAGTAATTACATATCTAGGTATTTAGCCAAGAGAAAATAAAAGTGTATATTCAGCCAAGACTTGTATACAAATCTCATAGAAGCTATATCTGTAACAGCCCCAAACTGACAACCCAAATGTCTATCAACTGGTGAATGAGTAAACAAATTAGAGTATATCAATATGGTGGAATACAACTCAGCAATAAAAAGGAACAAGCTATTGATACATGGATGAATCTCAAAAGCATTAAGCAAAGTGAAATAAACCATACGCAAAAGACAATGTATTATGTGTTCCCATACATACAAAATTGTAAAAAAAGGCAAAACCATGGTACTAAAAACAGATAAGTGATTGCCAGGGGTTGGGGATGAGCGGGAAGAATGAGACTGCCTGCAAAAGGGCATGAGGGAACTTTTAGGGATGATGGAAATTGTCTTGATTGTGGTAGGGGTTACACAACTGTGCACATTTGTCAAAATTCATCAAATAGAACATTTGCAATGGGTGAGTTTTGTTGTATGTAAAATACTTCAGAAAGTTGATTGTTTAAAAATTGATGTCAGGGTCAACCAAAAATCAAAGCATCCTCACCCCACTTCCCAGACTAGATCAGGTCTGCTGTACGCTCTCTCATGGATCTTATCTTTATTGTAATTAATTGCTTAGTTTTCGGCAGTGCCGAACAGGCTTTAGTATCAGGAACAAGATCCATGTCTATCTGATTTAATGCTATATGAGATAACACAGTACCTAGTACATATTAGGTACTCAATAAATATTTGCTGAACAATGAATGAAAGTCAAACAGGCATAATTCTAAGCTATTCTTACTAACTCACGTATCTATTTACTTGAAGATATATAGCAAAATGGACTCCTAAAGGCTACCTAAGGAGCTGATTCAGGGTGACTTGCCACTTTAAGAAGACACTGACGTGCCATTAAGACAATAAAACCAGTGAGAGAATTACTGATGAGTCAAAGTAGAACTGAAGACTGTGGTTGCTTTTTCAGAACCCAAGTATTAGAATGATTGTGAAACAAAGATGTAGATTTGTAATTGAGGGTAGACTTCAGAGATAATCATATAAAAGACAAACCAGATAACAACCATTAACATTTTTGCTGGATGGCAAAGATAGATACAGAGAGCAATTTACCTTTAAATATTATCTTCTAGCACTAAAGACAAGGACTATAATGAGTAAATTTGGGCCTGGATTGGGCTGCTCAAGGTATCTTTCTTTCAGTTGACTCTAATTAAGGTTCAAGTCCTGTTCCTTATCTCTCTGTTAGGAAGGGTCTGGAAATAGGAGTTTTTATGTGGGTAAACCTGGTTTTGGGCATTCTTAGGATTGGCCCCCATAAGTCTGATACCATTATAATTAATTGTACCAGATCCTGCCTCATTTCTTTTTTTTTAAATTTTGTATTAAGGTATTATTGATATACACTCTTATGAAGGTTTCACATGAAAAAACAATGTGGTTACTACATTTACCCATATTATCAAGTCCCCACCCATACCGCAATGCAGTCATTGTCCATTAGTGCAGCAAGATGCCACAGATCCACTATTTGCCTTCTCTGTGCTACACTGTTTTCCCCGTGATCCCCCACACCATGTGGGCCAATCATAATACCCCTCAGTCCCCTTCTCCCTCCCTCCCCACCCTCCCTCCCACACCCCTCCCCTTTGGTGACCTCTAGTCCTTTCTTGGAGTCTCTGAGTCTGCTGCTATTTTGTTCCTTCAGTTTTGCTTCGTTATTATACTCCACAAATAAGGGAAATCATTTGTCTGCCTCATTTCTTTAATAGAGTTAGAAAGGTATGGGAAGGCTAGAATTTAGTCAACAAATATTTGTTGAATGCTTGCTACGTGCTAGGCATTGCTCTAGGTACTGGGAATACAGCAGTAAACTAAATAGGCAAAAAATACCAGTCCTTAATGGAGCTTACATTGTAGTGGAAGAAGACAGATACATAAATAAGTAAATAGCAAAAATGCTGTGGCAAAAAGATATGGCAGGGAAGATAAATTTTAAATAGGGTAGACAGAGGTCATCATTGAAAAGGTGACATTTGGAACAAAGGGGGTGAAAGAGTGATCCATATGCACATTTAAATTTTAGAGGGAAGGAAATTTCAATTAGAGGAAAGGAAAGTGCAAATGCCCTGAGGCAAGATAATGCCTGGCAGGTTGGAGGACTTGCAAGGAGGACAATAACACTAGAACAATACAGTACAATATTGTAGCCACCAGCCACACGTGGTTATTGAGCCCCTGAAATGTGCCTACTTCAAACTGTGTAATTATTTTAGGGTGGGAGAATAACATGTACTTTTTTTATTAGCTGTTGTATTAGTGGTCCCAGTCATTCAAGCCTCCTAGTAAACAACGCCCTTTGCATGATGGCTTTACAGCTCATCCCAGGAAGAGGTGGAACCTTTTTTTTTTTGGACCCCTTGATTCTGAGTTGGTCAGTGCTAGACAAGCGCTACCCCTCAGCCCGAATCACTGCCCTTGCAGGCTCAAGAACTAAATAAATGCTTGTTGCCTTGAGCTGCTGAGTCTGGCTTGGTTTATTTGCTGGCAGTTCTGGGGAGGCTGCCTTCCTCTTTTTGGCTACCATAGACTTTCTGCTCTGATCTTTAGAAACCGTTACAGGGGTAGAAAAGATTAAGCACGAATATTTGGAGCATTATTTCTCTAGGGTTAATGTTCCAGGTACTTGGCTTAACTTCTCTAAGAGCTGCAAAATGGCTTGTTTTCTAAATGTCGTGGGTATGGGACTGCAGCTGGGAGAATCTTGTGTGTTCTGTTAATCCTTTGGACTTAAAAAAGGGAACACATGTGGTGTTGAACTAATTCAACTTCTCAGATTTGAAAAAATGATACTAATTTCTGTGGAGGATCACTCAGGCTGTGCCTGATGAGGGAACCCTGATCTCAGGCTTCGCAGTCAGACACCTCTAGT